TCAAGCATTTGAGGGAGAGTCACAGTCAGACTTCACGGGATCCTCAGCAGCAGCAGCAGTATCAGACAGGCTCATGCGGAGAAGAACAGTAGCTAGCTCAGTGCGCGCACCCGTCAGTTGCTTGGCAATGATACCGTGCACCGTCTCAAGATCAGCAACTCGCGCCTTCAATTGTTCGGAAAGCTTCACATCATTAGCATGAGGAGACTCATAATTCATAGCATCAGGTTCCGAATTGGATGGGGCAGTCACAGGAACGACATCCTTAATATGATCTCCAGAAAGAAGACGTTTATCAACAGTATATAGCAGCGTCGGACTGATCACTTCGCTGGGCATAGGCTTAAGACCCTGAGAGGTAAGGATGCCAAAGATCAGATTTGGAAACGGTAATCTTACCTTCTGTTCCCGGGGATGAATCAGAGTTAGAACATGATAAAAAAATCCATTTGCCCAGATCACACTGCATCTTAGTTCTAATTCTAAATAAGAACCCTGCCAGAAGCTTGCCAACTGTGTTGAAATGAGCTGATGGAAGCCAGTTGTGAAGAGCCAGGCGATGTAGGATGACATATCTAGACGTGAGATGCGAGCTCAGCAAATAGTCCTTATCTCCTGTAGGCCAAGATGTAGTATGTCCACCGGTAAGAGTTTTGGCCACCACGTCCCATTCAGTAACAACTTCTTCTTGCACAGTAGGCAAGCCATAGTATTTATTTATCACATCTGGCCCAAAATCATACCACTTCCCTCTGATGAAGATTTGCATCGGTCGTGGCCCTGTGAGACTGTCAATCTCATCACTGAGATTGCAATAGAACTCATATGTGAGCAGCTTGGAGTAAGGGCAAACATCTGTAGCAGTTTTCAAAAGACCAACTTCATTCAGCAAGGGCAGGATGTCGCAAACGGAGTTCAGTTGATTCTCATCCACAGTTCTTTGAACAATCATCTCCCTTCTGACCATAGTGGCCCATTTTGTTTGTGCAGCAGGGGATACAAACTGAGGTTTGTAAACAGTAGTATCAATTCCTTCAATAGGTGGAACCTCCGGAGTTACACTTCGACCTCTTGACCTTGTGGTAGGTTTCCCTTTTCTGGCAGAGGGGGCTGGTGCAGAAGTAGCTTGAGCAGCAGTAGTTCCTTGTTGCTTAACAGAGGAACGTAGAGTCTTGAAAACTTGGTGGATAGGTGGGTCTCCTTCAGGCTTAGCAGTCTCACTCGACTTTCTCTTCTTCACAGGCTGATCCACATCAACATTATCAGCACTGGTTTCAACAACAACCTTCGTTGGAACATTCTTCCTTATTGTCCGTCTTGTTTCTCTGGATGGGGACTGGACTGGAGTCACAGAGTGGCTAGAATCAGAAACATTTGCAGATGAGCTCCCAACAATATTTGATATCTCTCGAATTCTGAAATTCGTGGAATCAGGATGAACAGTTGCCTCAACAGTAGGGGCAGCAGAAGAAGGTGCTTGGGATCCATACACCTTAGCCAGTATCTTATCATCTTCACTGGAGGATTCTAAAGGGTGTATCACTCGATAAGGTTGAGGGATCGAAGCAGATGGTAACCTAGCAAAATGTCGCACATGTTCCAGGCTTTCTCCTAAAGATGTTGCAGTGTAAACAGGGACTCCACCTGTTTTCTCAGACTTGTGGGGACTTGATAAATCAACAGTTTTAACAGATGCAGGTAAGGCAGGAGGATCAACAGCAGGACAAGACTCTTTAGAGACATTAACAGTTTAAGACGGAGGCAGAGCAATATTCTCAGAAGCATAAACAACCAGACTCAGTGGATTTGGCTTATCAGAGGACTTTGTTTTCTCATCAGACACATGCAACGCATCAGATTTTTCACTAGCAAAATTAGTCACAGGCAAAGATAGAGGATCAGCATTCACAGGGGACTTCTCGGAACCCAAAGCAGATTGATTCTCAGGCAAAACAGACACAGACGATGGTAGAAGAATCAACAAGTCTATCAGGAGAAATTTCAATAGGGGTTTCAGAATCATTTACCCGTTGTCGAAGAATCTCCTGTCTGTGTGTTGCTTCTCTCTGAGCAGCTTCAAGATACAGAGCTTGGGACTCCTCTCGTCGTCGAGCTTCTTCAACAGATTCTAGGGCACGTTGAGCAAAAAATTGAAGGAATGCCCCGGCCCGATTTCCATCCGAGGGTTCTGGAATAAACACTGGAGAGACGTCATCACTGGCTTCGGCGACCAACACAAGAAGTTCAGTTACATCATCTGCCGACCATTCAGCATAAAACTCTGGATAGTTGGTCATAACAGTCACCAGAATCTCGTCGCGAAGTAGAGGATCAAGCTTGAGCTTCTTTAACATTTTTGGGTTCTATCTTTCCACCACTCCATTCTGTTGAGCAGTTCTAGGAGCTGAGAACTCATGTGAGATACCATGCTCGGAACAGAAGTCTGAATATAGTGAATTCTCAAATTCCTTTCCATGATCACTCCTCAATCTCTGAACTTTTATAATAGACTCATCTTTTTCCTTCTGAACTCTTATGCACAGAGTCTTGAAGGCCTTGAAGGCTTCTGTCTTTTCTCTCAGAAAGTAAACCAAGCTGTATCGAGAGAAATCGTCTACACACACAAATATATACTTCTTTCCTCCAATGTTTTCAGTCTGTGTTGGCCCCGTGAGATCTATATGGACAAGATCTAGACATTTCTCAGTGGTGATACCTCTTACTGCTTTGTGTGGAGTTCTGATTTGTTTCCCAATAGCACATGCGCCACAAATTTTCTCTGGATCAATTCTGATCTTCGGTACACCTTTTACTGCTTCCAGTTTTATCAACTTATCCATATCTCTGAAATTTATGTGACCTAGTCTTCTATGCAAAAGTTTTGATTCATCAGATTTGGATAGGTGACAAGCAGTTTCATTTGTCAAAACATAACAGTTGTCTAAAGACCGAGTTCCTTCCATGACAAGTTGATTTGCTTTGTCACTCACTCTGCAGCAGTTACGATCTAAGCATACATTCCAATTTTGATCACATAACTGACTGATGCTAATAAGATTCGCTTTTAATCCACTGACTAGCAAAACTTCTTCTAATTGAGGTAAACCTGGAACATTTAGGACACCTTTCTCAACGATTTTATCCTTTTGTCCATCTCCAAATGTTACAGCTCCACTGCTAGGTTGAACACCCATCAGACATTTAATGTTTTCTATTATATGTCTGGAACAACCACTGTTGAAATACAATGGTGGGATAACAGATAACTTCTGACTTTCTGACCCAAACCTGTCTAGTGAATGGTGTAATAGTCTTATTCTGATATTTTTCCTTCCTTTGATCTCTGTAGAAAAAATAGCATTCGGGACGAGTATGACCTTTTGTGTGACAGTAGTAACAAATGGGAGTATAATATTTAACTTTGACAATCTTATTTTTGAATCTCGAATAATGAGATTGATAAGTTGATTTGTCCTGGTCAGTGTTAGTACCGTATCTCCTTTCCTTGATTTGTACTGACTGAGATGACTGTCCTTGTTCATACCTGTGATATGCTGTGGTCTTAGACATTCCCTCTTTGATGAACTTTGGTGCGTTGTTCGAAGATTCTCCTTGCTCAAATCCCAGACCTTTTTTATCATTAGGGTTTCGGCCAGAGTCTAGAATTTTATCTAAGGTAGATGTGGTGTCCATCATCTGTATATTTTTCTTCAAGCTCTCCAACTCCTTGATTAATTTACCTTCTCTGGATCGTATCTGAGTGATGAGATCTTCTTTTATGACCAGTTCAACATTCAGTTTCTTTATAAGATCATCTTTTTGCTTTAGATTGTCATTCAGATTCTTATTTACTTTCACAAGTTGTTCCCAGCTAGCGACAAGTTTTGCAAATTCTGCCTCAAGTTGAATATGTCTCTCTTCAAAATCATCTATTGATATGTATGATTCTCCATCTGATTGATCTCCATCTGATTCAATGTTTGTGGCAGTAAAGAACGCTACCAAGTTTCATACATTATCATCTGATTGATCATTTGAATTTTCCTCCTCATCATCACTAAGAGTAGCTACAGACATAGCCTTTTTCCTTTTAAGATATGTTGCACATTCAGCCTGTATGTGACCGTATCCTTCACATTCCCTACACTGCACTGACCGATTAAGGGGTTTTCCTATGTCTGTGGCACTATCTGTTTTGTCTCGATCGCCCAGTCTGAGATTGATTGTTCTGTGAGAAGGGTGCTGTTTCAACCTTTTGATATGAAGGGTTGTTGCCTTTGTATTGTGTTCTTGTAGACTGACCTTGACCCTTTCTGTTGAACCCTTTTAAGATTTTCTGGAATTTTTTGGTTAGGAGAGCTAGGGTTTCATCATCTATGTCGTCTGTGTCAGATTCTCGATCAGCTTCAGCCACAAAGGCTACAGACTTTCCTTTCTTGTTGCTTCCAACATCATCATCAGCAAGAACTTCCAGTTCATATGTGTGCAAGCTTCCCATGAGTTCTCCAACAGTCTTCTTTACCCAACCTGTGTCTTCCTGAATAGCAGTTACTTTCATTCGAAAACGTTTAGGTAGGGATCTAAGAATCTTTTTAACCACTCTCTCATCAGTGAATGGTTCCCCAAGAATTGAGGCTCGGTTCATCAAGTTCTGAACCCTACTGTAGAAGGTAGAAATGGTTTCATCTTCAGTCATTCTGAGAGCTTCGAACTCTGACAGAACCATTTGCAACTTTGACTGTTTGACATCACTGGTTCCTTCAAATCTGGTTTCAAGAATCTCCCATACCCGTTTAGCCTCTTTTACCCCTGTAACAAGCCTAAAAACAGATTCATGTAGTGATCCAACAATTGATTTCAGTGCTTTGTTGTTCAAATCAGAGGCATTCATTTCATCGTATGTCCAAGTCTCCATGGGTTTTTCTTCAACAGCTCCTTGTGCATTCGGAGTAGTAGGTCGACTCCACCCAGTTAGGATGGTGGGATAAACCCTGGTTCCTTGTGCTTGAAGATATATCTCCATACGAGCCTTCCAGAAAGAGTAGTTGTGACCATCTAGTTCTGGTGGTTTCATACTTGCGTCCATCCTGAAACCAACAACCAGCCATTGAACAAACAGACAGACTTCTACAAAAACAGAGAAAATGCAAAACTAAGATAGCCCTTCGGATCAAGTCACTATGTAGACTTAAAAGCTCTGATACCACATGTAATTTTGCATTTCCTCATTTTACGTAAAATATCATAAATAGTTTGCTGACTTAGAATACTGATTGATTCAGTTAAGCACCAACTTAGTAATGATAGATCATGAAGAGAACATCAGAGAAAAATAAACAAACACACAGAACGAACACTCACAATGTTTACCCAGTTCGATACGGTGTGTATCTACATCTGGGGGACGATCACATAGGCGTCCAATCCACTAAGTCATAATCCAATGTACAAAGGTAGATATACAATAATCTTACCCAAGTGCCCCACACAAGGTACATACCAGTCTACACAGGTTTAGTGGATTGTTGAAGATGTAGAGCCATGCATACAGAAGTCCAATGAAATCCCTTCACTTGGAGAGCCAGCTCTGATGCAGTCCACTTCAGTGACGCTCTATAAGGTTGTTCCCACAACAGTGTGATCTTAGTGTCCTTTCGTTTAAGTAGCAGTAACTCTTCTCAAGTTCATCATCTTAATCACCATGAACATGTTGTATTGAGAAGGTGCATGAGCATCAAAGATCTAGACTCATCAAGCTGATATGGAGTGTTTCTTCTTCTTATTTGGCGTAACCCTATTTCCCTTAAAGAACTGGTACGTATAGATCCTTCAATAAACACTCTCCACAAAATGTCTTTGATTGTAGAAGGTAGGACTATATAAGAGGAATGTAATCTCAGCAGATTAGGTCCATTACCTTCTTTGAAGATACGCTGATCGTCTTTCCATACTGGGCTGATAATACCGCGTAAGACTCTTAAGGAAACAGCTTTCCTAAAACAGATCTTCAGTGTCAGTTCTTCTGTTGTTGCTTCTGCTTGATCAGTAAACTGCAGACCCAACCGAACAGACTCTAAACCTATCTTAGTATGCCATAATAATATTGCCAATTATAATATGGGGTTTTTGAACATAAAAACACTAACAACTTCCTTTTGGTATAACAAAGGGATACAAGGCCGGGGAGGTATGAAGTGAAAGAGAGTGTAGCAAACGAAGCCATGGTCGAAGCAATGACACAAGAGATCAAGAGATTGCAAACAGTAGTTGAAAAGTTGGAAGCAAAATCTAAACTGTGCATGGCTTCGGCATTGTATTGCAATGTATGTGGAGGCCCGCACGACACCAACGTTTGCACATCGACGATTCAAATTGATGAAGTGGAGGCGACCAACTATCCGCCACCACAAAATCCAAATGGGTGGGGAAATGACAATACAAATTAGAAGTTAGGTAATGGTTAATTGGCAAAATCAAGGTTACCGAGGTGACCTCACAGAAAGAATACTTATGGAACGGGACCGGAGAGAATGGTGACTTTTGGCCCGAACTACAACCAAGGGCAACCAAATACTTCTTACCGACCCCTGGGAATCCACAAGGAGAGATGGTGATGCATAGAAGTGAAGTCAAAGATGGAGAAGAACGGTTATCTAAGGCCATTAGTGATTTAAAGAGAGATCAAGGATTCATAAGACAAGAAATCTCACAAGAGATTAGGCAAGAGATTGCCACGGTGAAACAAAACTATGCACTTTCATTGAAAAACATTGAAACCCAAATGTCTCAAATGTTCTGGTTGATGTCCGAAAGACCATGGGGAACATTGCCAAGTAACACCGAAAACAATCCAAAAGAAAGAGTGAATGTCGTGTCCGTTGTGAATCCAATTGAAAGGGAAAAGAAAGATGCAATAGAAAGTCAACACCGTGAAGGTCAACACACAAGAGATTACCTCTTGGAGAAGAAGAAAGGAAAGGACACCTCTTGTGCCCTAGAGGAAATCGTGAAGGAAAACCCGCCATTGAAAGTTAAAGCTCAAACACCTCAAGGGATAAGGTTTGATTATTCATATGAACGTGACTATGAAAATGGGAAACATCTTATCTTGAACACACTCTACCGTGCATGTGCGGTTAATGAGGACTTTGATAGTGATGAGGAGGAAGATTTGCCTCAAATAGAGCTTGGTGCCAAGGCAACGGCTATCCTACACAAAGGATGCCCAACCAAGCAAGATGATCCCGGTGTTTTCCTTGTGAAATGTAGTATATGAGATTGCGTTTTTAAGGATGCCTTAGCCGATTTGGGAGTCTCCGTCAACATCATGTCCTCACTTATCTATGAGAAGTTGAATTTTCCTTGTATAGCCTCCACGCCACTTGTTGTGCGCTTAGCCGATGTAACTACACGCTATCCCTGAGGTGTGGTTGCAAACGTGCTTGTCAAGGTAGGAAGAAATCTTGTACCGGTTGATTTCATGGTACTTGATGTGGGAAAAGATTTGGAGGTTCCGTTGATCCTAGGATGCCCATTTTTAGCTACTTTTCGTGCTCTAATTGACGTGGAGATGGGCAAGCTCATCTTTAGGATCAATGGAGAGAAATTTGATTAAAACCAACTTGAGAAGAAAGAAAATGCTTGCTCGGTGGTTACTAAAAGAGCCAAGAAAAAGATTAAACCATGGTGGGAGATCCGGAAAGTTTCTTGGGTACCTAAGTGCCTCAAGACCAACACTTTCGAAGGAGGATGAATAGAAAGGTAACACGTCTAGCCAATGACGTTAAAGGTGGCGCTTCTTGGGAGGCAAACCAAGGTTTCACTTTCGTTTTGTTGTTCTTTTTGATTTCTAGTTGTTTGAATAAACGGCAAATGATGATTATGACCTTAATTTCTTGTTGTTTTTGGACTTGGAAGAGCTAAATTTTCAGATTAGGAAGCGGTGAAGTTGATAGGATTGGACAAGGAGAGAAAAGCCAAAAAGGAAGTGGGAGGTGAGAGAGGTCACAATGCCACGACAACGTGTGTTGTGCCTCACGCTGTGGCATCCACCGGATCACCAACGAAACAGGGGAAGTTGCAACGCCACGTTACACCTCACGTTTCCAAGACAAGAAGAAAAGCCAAATTTCCAGAAATTCCAACGTGTGTGGCAACGCACGTTGCCACACGCGTTGTGGAGATGGTCGATGTTCCAACGTAGGGGCACGCAGGGGCAAAGCAAGGGGAACGCGCGTTGGAGGGAAGCTGAAAAATGTTGGATTTCCAGAAAGTTCAGCGTGACTCACAACGCACGTTGCGAGTCACGTTGCAAAGAAGTCTGAGAAGGGCAACACTCGGAGCAACGTGCGTTGCGAAAGCAGAATACAGGAATCTGGGAATAAAACCCTCAAAACCCCTACATAAATACGCCTAATAACTGCAAAAACATATATGTATAAATAAATCTACTCACACAATTAATGCATTCATACTTACTAATCTTGTTTCTGTCAAAATACATTCACACTTTTGAGGAAAAATTTTGTGGCCATAATGTTGCTTATATATATATATATATATATATATATATATATATATATATATATATATATATATATATATATATATATATTTATATATATATATACATATATATATATATATAAACGGGTTCTGGTGCGGATGGCACTGTTAGGTGCGGTTGTGCGGTTGCAAGGCTGCCGTTCGTTTTTAATGAGTTAAAATATCCTGACCGTTGATCTAAAAGTATAAAAATTGCGTAATTTTTATTGTATTCGCGTACTGAGGGACAAATTAGTAATTTTGATTAAATTATTTTTAATTGCTGTTCTATATCGTCGTTCGCATTGCCGTCGCCGTTGTTTTTGCTTTTCAAAGAATCGCTCAGTTATCTATCATTTCTTGATCGTTTAGCATTGCGATGTCCATTGGTTTTGCTTCCAAATCGTTTTCCAGTCTCTTGTTATATAGTAATTATTTATTGTGGATCTGCATTTGTTTTTTTTTTTTTTCAGAAAATTGTTATAGTTTATTTTGTTATGAAATGGAGCACGTTAAGTTATATTGGTGAAGCACATTATGTAATACATGTACGCATATTAAGTGTTAGACAGATGGATGCTCATTAATGAGATATGAGACGCATATTAAAAATATATGAGATGAATTTTAAAGAGATATTAGACGCACTTTAAAGAGTTACGAGACGCAAATTAAATAGGTATGAGACACATATTAAAGATATTTGAGAAGCATATCAAAGAGATTTGAAACGCATATTAAGGAGTTATGAGACGCATATTAAAGAATTTTGAGAAATGTTTTATTTTAATTGGTAGTTAAACGTTCGGTAAACAAGACCTGACGTCCCGCACGTTGTACTTTAATAACTCGCACGTAATGATATTTTTGAACGCATATTAACTTATTTGAATTTATAATTTTTTTAGTTGTTTTTAATAATAATTATTTTCCATGTTATTTTAGTATATGCAAACGAACCCATTAATATATGAAATTAAGAAATGTTAAGATTTTGCATTTTTTTTTCTTTTTATTTCAACTTTTTATTTATCACGAAAATGAATGCACATTAAAGTTTTAAAAGCACGTTCAAGGTTTAGTGGACGCATATTAAGAATATTAATTGTATGAATTAATAAGTTGATTTTTAATATGCGTCCATGCAACATACAAGATGCGTGAAAATATATATTAATGTGTTTCAAAACGAAAGGAGTTTACATCAATATGCTGAACTAATGTAAATTAATAAAACCTTTAACAATAAAAAATATTCATTATTTTTCGTGCTTAAAACCAGCCTTTTCCATGTTTTTTTCAGAAAGTTCATTGATTTCAAAAGTTAAAATTGCTGTAATGTATTTGACCCTGAGGTCTGCAAGATCTGATGGTTTAATTTCACTACTGTCAATTTGAAAACCAATCAGTCCACCACCAATGTATGTTTGCATGTGGCACATTGCAAATACACCACAATCACCTTTCGTCTCGGTACCACTGCATTGGATTAGCATTCTTTCAGGTGTAGCCTTTTTAAGTCTGTTTGCAGCACTGTATGAATCCTTTTCATTCAAATATCTTACAAAGTAGTCTTTCTGCAAATAAATAGAAAAGCATTAAATACATAAAAAACTAGACTTCATAAAATGTTTTATAATGTGTTAATTAGTACTCACCAAAAGAAATGGTATTTTACCATATTTGGCAATCCCAGCATCATTATCAGAAAACTTGTCAAGTATTTGTATGCATGTATGATAGACATTCATATCAATGCATATGACATATATTTGATCAGCTGTAATCACTGGGAAAAAGAACTGCATTTTGTACACTTTTAGTTCAGAGAGATTATAAATACAAATGTAATGTAAGTATGTAGAATTTAACTTACCAAAGAACAGTTCATAGGGTCACCAGTAGCTGTGTCAACGTCATGATTAACACTTTCTCGAAACTTTTCATACAGCTGAGCAGTACTGTATCCGGGTGGTTTGTACACAATAGAAGATGCCTACAGGAGTATGATAACCTTGTCAGCATTGCAGTATGTGCTCTAGGACAGTTGTTAATA